TAAAAAATAATTTATTTTCGTAGTTATTAACCGAATCGAACCGAACCGACTTACGTGGTTATGGTACGGTAATGGTACGGCCAAAAATTTGATAGTGCGGTTATGGTTTTGGCCTAACCGAATCGTTGCCATCCCTACTTTTTCCCCCAACTTGTAACTCAGTGCTTTTTCCAATCGCACTGAGTTTTTGGTCATCTGAGTATAACACTTTTATTTTCCCTCTTGGCCCAATGTCCATTACTCTAAGGGATGTTGAAACCCTAGTGAATCTTGTGCCTTTGGGAAATATTATCTTTCCTAGAATTTTGATTTCCAGTGCAAAGTTTGACAAGAGAATTACTAAATCTTACTCAAATATGCAAGACCTTTATACTGCTTCCAATCCCGAGCCTAATCATGCTGAGCGTGTTGCCTTCCTTCAGGTCTGGCTTTGTAAATATATTCTTTGTGTCCCCAGCATGAAACCCTCCATGAGTTATCTGCCTTTATCGCATGAATTAGCACATGGCAGGTCTTTGAATTTGTGTTCCTTCTTTTTAGTTGCCTTTTATAGAGGCATGGTTTCTCTTCAATTCCAGTTGAGGAATGGTGCGTCTCCCACTGGCAGTGGGCCTCTTTAGCTCACTCAATTGTCATTGAGAGCCTATTTTTCACAACTTGGTGCTCCACCATCTCCTCATCGAACAGTTAGCTGCTATGGGCTGTTCATTCACCAATTGAGCCCTGTGAGTATGTCCGTATGGACGTTTTTACATTCTTTTATACTTTGAATTCAGCACCTTCCTTTTCTCCTTTTTCTCCTCAACAAGTCCCCATTTACGTGCGGCCTCCTTATACTTTAGCCGAAGTGAACATTTTCATGCCCGTTTGGGTTCAATTTTTGATCGAGAGAGAACTGTTCCATGACATTGTTATATGAACGAATGCTAAGGCAGGGTTTGAGAAATATGCTCCCTAATTTTTTTGCTTGCCACTTGGTTTTGGCCAAATGTGGCTTGTTCTTTCTTGTTATTTTAGAAACTTGACAGAACGTTTCTATATTATAAATAAAATAGAGGCACAAGCCATTGATGCCCGTAATAATCTTCTGGCTAAAGGTTTTGCCTTGGCTCCTTTCAATCCTACTGCTGTCACACACCCCATTTTTAACCAACTATGGCCATCTGTGAAGCGCAGATTGTTCATAACTGACGCTAACCGTGCCTTCCACCTGCTGGATATACCAAATACTCCTTCTACTTCTCCCATTCTGGCTACCCCTCTGTCTAGTGGGAATCTTTCCTCGCTTGTTCATGCTAAACGCTCTATTCCTCCACCTGTTTCTCCACTTACTGAGGCTGCTACAGTCAAAGGTGCCCTCAGCTGCAAACGGCCAGCCTCAGCTTCTCCAATTTTACAGGATGATGTTGATGATGATGATGATGATGATGATGATGATGATCCCCTCATCCTTAGGAGAAAGGTAATTGAGTTTGTTTATTTCATAAAACATCTTCATCCATGTATTAATGATTTACCTGAATTTTCTAGAAGAGTTCAACTTCCCCTTCGAAGGCTATGGTATTAGCAGCTCCTGCTCCATCGCCTCCTGCTGAAGTTGCTTCATCCAAATCGGCTAATGAAGGGACCATGCTTAAAGAGAGATCCTTAGTCTCGGAATCTTCATCACAACCAGTTAAAGAGTTACCATCTTCCCAGAGCGTCGACCCCCCAATTATCAAACCAGAAGGTAGGATATATTTTAATGTTTTTACCTTTGTTTCTGCTCCTGGTTTTTAATTCATTGCTTCTTGAATTCTGCATAGGTTTCCATGGACCTGCCCGTTGTGGTAGAGTATACTTGCCTAGATAAGGGGAAATCTCCACAGGTGGTGGAGCCAACTGGTGATGTGTGTTACGTGAAAATGCCGTAAGCGTACGGATTCGTTGTACAAGTAATAATCGTGATGAGTGAATTATCGTTCCACAGGGAATAAGACTCAATT